TTACGATGCGATCTGGTGTTTCGGAAGGCAGCACCCCGGGACCGTTGCTGTTCGCCTGCTTTCTCGTTAATGTTCCTGACCAAATTGAGAGTGAGTGCCTGGTGTACGCTGATTATGTGAAAATTTATCACCGAATAGACAACGCAGCAGATTGTCTTTCACTTTAGGCGGCTTTGGATCGCCTCTGTGAGTGGTCCAAAAGCTGTGGACTGAAATTGAACCGAGCTAAGTGCAATACCATCTCATTGACCCTCCGCACGTCACCTGTTCACTACTCATACGCACTAGACGGTCACCGCTTGGATGGCTGCCAGCAGATACGCGATCTTGGCGTCTTCCTGGACACCAAACTCCCCTCTGCTTATCACACGGATTCGGCTGCCTCAAAAGGAAACAGAATGCTGGGCCTTCTCATGCGAAGCATGCAAATGCCGGTGTGCACTCGTCAAGCGCGGTTCAATCACATGGCTTTGCCTTGTGCCTCCAACGCTCATGTGAGATCATTGATAGAGTACGGTGGCGTTATTTGGAGCAGTGCTGCCGCTTCCCATCTCGCCCGGTTTGAAAGACAACACTGGTTTCTCATGTGGTTCGGTTCTAGTAATCAGTCCCGGCGTGCTCCACTGGATTATGAGCATCTTTTCGCTTGCTTCAAAACAGCATCTATCAAGGCACGCTTTGCGTAATCTGACATCTTATTTCTATGTAACGTATATCATCACAGGCTTGACTGGGCTCATCTGACATCACTGTTCAGTCTGGCAAAACCCTTCCGACGTTCTCGGCATATCGGCCTTTTCCACAAGCATTTGTGAGGGTCAACACTGTTAAAAATTGATTTGTTGCACGACTACCCGCTGCCTGCAATCGCCTTCTGCAGCATTCTCCCTCAACTGACTAGTTTCATGCAACAAAATCATCCCGACCTGATTTGTTTAGGTTTGCCAGCACACGTGGAATATTCTCTTGATGGCCGGTGTGTCTGAGTGTGCAAGGTGTATGTGCGACCGTGTATAATGTGTATGTGCGTGCGTTTGGTTAGACGTTTTGTGTGTGTGTATCGGATATATATTGTTTTTGAAACGTCCAGTTTTAAACGTCCAGCTTCCGTAATTGAGCTTTTGCCTGTGGAGTGCTATATCCTAAATAAAGAAATAAGGAAATAACTCAAATATGCTGTCAGCACGAGCAGGTTCTGTCAAGATTCGTGCTATTCTGTCGCACAATAATGCCACAGGTTTGATGCTATGAATTGTTTAGATAGTGCTGGACTTGAAACTTGTTCGTCCGAAGCAGCTCCTGGTCCTTCCAGAGTTGTGTTGTCGGCATCATCAACATGAGTAAGGCCGTTATAAAGCTGTAGCTAGCTAGCGCGCGCTAGCTATATATAGCTAGCTACAAAGCTAGCGTGATCTGCGACTGAAAAACTTATGTTGTTATCCGTCAAAGTTACGTTCTCTAACGAAGACAACCCAAGTTTCACACCGTGACGACGAGGCAAGTATTGTCGAACGCACAGAGTAAGTCGAATGGGCCAAACAATTGTAAGAAACATTTCGAACACAGACAACCCACTACAAGTAAATAACGGCTGCGCTTCCATGCCGCACTCACATGAATGATGCATAGTCAGCTACGTTTGACAATGGCTGATCACGAACTAGACAGCAGGACAAGCAAGTCTGACTCGAACTGCAGCAAAATCTTTGAACTTGAGCGACCCCGGCCGGCACGGTCGTCACGCGGCCTGGAAGCTTATGGCTTGGCGACCACTGACCGCAAGATCATGCAATTTTCAGAAAAATAGCAACTCTTGTAGTGTTGCGCTGTTTATGTTGCTGTGCATTCGCATGACGCAGGTTTTCCTGCAACATCGCAACATTGCTACGCTTTTATATTTTCCACTTGATTAACATAGAGAACGCAAAAACAGCAACCAAAAGCTGAAGAGCATTGTTCGAAACCGGAGCTAGATCTCAGCAGCCTGGCGTCGCGGCGGCACCAAGCTGATAGATTCTAACGGAGGAGAACAGGGACGGTCGTACAGGCAGGCGCTTGGGACGATGCGTGAGGACGATCTCTTGTCGCGTTGTCCGCAAACCGCGGATTGGCCCTTTGGGTGGCGGGGGTGAGGATGGATGTCAGATCCCAGCAACGAGAGTAGACTATGTGAAATTAATGGGATGGTGCAGGCAGGTGTATTATTTTCAACTCGCTACCGGACTACCACCAAACACTGCCTCACCCATGGTTGCGCCAGCAACCGGCCGTAAAGCAGCCGTATCGCTTTTAACGGCTCTCGAATGCATGGCCCTGTGGTGTAATCTGAGTTGACTTGGATTATGAGAGCTACACCGGCTTGAGTGCTGCTAAGCTTGAGCAGTGACATTTGGGCTTGTCCATAATTTGGTCATGATTGCGAAAGGCGCAGATTACTGCAAATTTGCCGACCTTGTCCAATAAATTTAATCTTATGAGGATTAGCCTCAGACCCCCCAAGGCAGTCTAGTTTGCACGAAATCGGATTTAGAACGCATCTTTGGCCGCGCATGTATAAAAGCGTGCCATTCTGTACTGCGGAAAGCTGTCATTTTTTACTTTAGACTCAAGGCATTGAGGTTGGCATTTATAACATCAAGGTTGACATTAAGATTGGATACACTCGTGGGTTTGCACGGTCATCGGTTTGCGCCAGGGTGTGAACTGGACCTTGCTGGTTTGCTTAGACATCAAGCTATGCACTTGTTTGTTTTGTGTCCCGACTCCCGAGACCAATCTCGGGCCAAATGGCGAGGGGAAAACCGCTCTCGTCGATGACGCAAGTGGAAATGGCTTCCGTCAGGTGGCGGCAAGAATTGGAGCTGTTGCAAACGTGAACCTTTCAGAATGTTTCGGGACACGGACGGCGATATGCTATCCTTGCCACCCAATGTTCAACCGCGATGGAAACCGGGAGTTCTGTGGCTTCAGTGGCCGGAGACAGCCGGGCCAGGGCCGCATTTGACGGGTTTATAGCTTTGCAACCACTGGCCCCACCACCGTGGAATTTTCAGCAACCGGTAGCATATTTGCGATAGCTGTGGCGCACTATTTTCGAGGGATTTTAATGCGGCCCTGTGTGTTCAGGTAACACCTTCCAGGCGGCGTTAAAATATAACCATTATTTCACTTTCCTGTCCGACCATTGGAAGAAACGTAAAATTTTCAAATCCTGAAGCACAGAAAAAACGACCCAGCTCAGAACAGGTCTAGATATTGAATACCGGTGTGATGCAACAACATAAGGCTGACTTATACTGACGAGCAAAAATATACAATCGCGCTGGCGAAAGCGTGGGCCGACATGTGCGGACATCACGTGCTATCATGATGGCCCCATGGACGCGTCCATTTCGGAGTGTGTTTAAGGACTATTGTCAGATCTCAGCCGCCATAGCGGGCAGAGACGTGGAACAAGCTGAATGATCTTGACGAGCGTACCGTCCACAACTCATTCCGGGGAGGAGCCCATCTTTTGTACTTTTTGCTCATGGTTAGATCAGACGCGTTTAGTTTGTTCGGTAGTATCAGTTTTCTAGAAATTCTTCTGAGTAAGTAGAAGTTTTAGTTGAAGTAGCCGCGCACGGGAGGGATGTCACTGGAATCCGTGCTCACCACTATGAAAGCCGCTGGACTTCCTGCTCACCACTACTAAGGTGATTTATTGCATCTTTTCCTTTTCCAGAGTGTTATTTAATGTTCGCAATTCACTAATTTAAAAAAATGTATGAGCATAAAATGCTATGAAAACTTCATACCTTCAAGGCAAATCCAACGAAACGTCACAAAATGACTTTGATTCCTTTCTACGACGCTTAACACGATGGTCAGTTTAGTTTGATCACTGTTCCAAATTCCTAAACCATGCCAAGCAAAGCTGTTCGGCCACGCTGGCTCCAAAGTCAGCCAATACTCATCAGCCAATGTTCATCTATGTCATATATGAATTGGCACGTGAGCAACAGACATCAGCACGCCTCTGCCCACCAGACTCACGAGAGGAGGACATTCCCATGCACTGATACGCTTTATCGTAAGAATCCCCAAAGGCGCCAAGCTTCATTTGTGTATGCTTTGGTAGCACCCGTATGTGGTGATATATTTTACGTTCATTATTACCTCGCTCGACCCACACCACATACGAAGTCTTTCGGTAACACAGAGGGTGGCTAGAGGCTTTAATTCGGAACAAATAAATAAATGTAAAACATTGCACACTCTAGCCATGATCGTAGCGCATTTTGGAGCGAAGGAAGTGTCGAATGGGGCACCAGTCACTGGAGCCTTTCCGTTGAAGCGTCTGCGGCCGTTGACACTTGGCCGGGCGCCGAGGTGATGGTGCTGAGCGTTCTTCAGTTCCACCGTGCGGATGCGGCTGCCTCTGTGGATGGTTCGTAGTAATGAGCCGCGTTGTGAGCGGTGGAAATTCCAGTGATTCATGTACATGAATGAATTTCATCATGAAATTCCAGGAAATTCCTGTACATGTAGGTCAGGGGCGGACCCAAAGGCGATCAACGGTCGTCTCCGCTCCCATCTCACTCAAAACCGAGAAGACAGGTGTCTTCCCTCATTGAGCTCGCTTTTCGAGAAATTGACGTGGCATTCAGGCCGTAGCTCCATCTCACACCTGTTCCTCGGTTCGATCTTGGTTTCGCTTGAGAATGAGGGGTGAGGACGGTGATGCAATGCTGGGCGTAAATGCCTGCTGGTTGCGTCAGACGCTTAAGACAAAACTGAGAACTCGCTTTTTCCTGTTGGCGAGGCGTGCCATTTGGGCATGGCGTCACTGTTCCGCCATTGATCATGGCTGGATCGAAAGTGGGGAAGTCACGTGTCTGAGGCACGTTTACCGTTGCGCTCGTCAGCACTGGTTGGGACTGATTGTTCTGTTGATTAAAACGTTAAATGTGTACAGGTGTGCGGTTTCCGAGGAAGACATGTCTTCCTTGTGTTTGCAGATAGCGTGTTCTGGTACCATGAAGCACAGGACGAGCTGAAGGCGGCCCTCAACATGGAGCCCAACCGTAACACAGCAAAGAACATAATAGTCTTCATCGGAGATGGCATGGGCATCCCGACCATCACAGCTGCTAGGTAAGAGGACCCATGCCGTCACCTGGCCTCTCGATGTCTTTCGATTTAATACCTTTTATTTAGCCTAAGTACATTGAAGTGCTCTTGACATTAGTAAAAATATCGTCTCACAGGATGACTTTAATATTCACGGATTGAAAATGATCGCACAGCCAATATGTCGAAAGTTTGCTGCGCAAGTAAAAGCTTTCGCTCCTTTTTACTCATGGTCGTGTTCGGGTCTGGTGACCGGTCGACAATATTTTGACTTCTTTCTTTGGGTGACAGAGGTAGATAACATTTGTTGCTGTTTGGTGGTTACGGATTCAAGCGACTCTTGCCTTGATCCTTTGGTGCTGACATGCAGCCCCCCATGCAATGGCAATATCGTAGCGTAAAGCAAATACTCGGTTAAATTTTAGATATTCGCATTCACATAGATAAGGTAGTAGTATTAGCCTTATTCATCGTAGAAAAACCAGGAGAATTGAGATAAAGTTGGGCTGATATTTCGGCAACATGCCTTTGTCAAAACAATAGCAGAAGTGCATTCAAGCTTGCCTGCCGATGATTCGACTCGATTTTCAGGTTTTTTGTTAAAAGCAAGCCACAGTTTGTTACAGGACACCAACATTAAGGGATTAAACAAAAAGCGATTGCCAGCCATTACGACGATTCAGCGCCTACCTAAGAATCAGAATGCGTGAACATACGTGTACATTCAAACGAACTCAAGCAAATGGGCCTCACGCTTCGCGTTTCATTCGAACATGCAAGCGAGTTGAAGCAAACAGGCATCACACCGCGCATCAATTATGCATGCAAACGATTTCAATTGGACGGGCATGGCACATCAAGCGTCGGGTATCACTTACACGTGAAAACGACTCTAAGCTGGCATTCAACTTTTCCAATCAGGCGCCCTATTATTTCCAATCAGGCACCCTATTCTTGGCGGTGCTGTGTGCTGTCCAATCAGGCGCCACGTGCCGTGTGTCGGACGTGTTGACACGTGTTTAAGCAGTGATGCCATATCTCGCCATCCAGACATCGATGAGGATGTGAAGCTAATTACACGGCGTGAGCGAACGTGCCGTTGCGTAGCAGTGGGCGGTGCCACCGTCGTTCCGCCGGCAAGTGCACTAATGCTTGGCCGAGAAGGGACTGATGACGCCTCTTCTGAAAGCAGTCTCGACAACACTGACATGCCATGGCCTAAACCGAGCGCATGATGAAAACTGCGCAGGCGTGTTGTTCAGCTCGCTGCGGCCAAAAATTACACAGCGTATGTGTATTTTTTCAGCGATATTGTCATGGTCCAAAAGCGGGTAACTATCCAAAAAAGTTCACATTCTCTGATCAGGGCCAATGCATTTATGTACGTGAGAAATGACTTGAGCTCTGGGTTTTCCGGCAGTCGAGGTCTAATGCGGAGGATTACCAGCTGTCAATGTGGCAGGAGGTGCTAATTACGGGGATATAAAAAACGAACGCTGTTAAGTACGATAAAAAGCTAGACGCTTCAGCTACGGGATAACGACTGACCTTCAGCTCCGCCTGGCGCTTGAGGTCCACGCATGGTGGTTCTATGCCGAACAATCTTAGAAATCCTAGCAGCGTGTTCCTGTACGAGGCCAGGAACTTATCTCTTCGAAAAGGTAGCATTTACAACCTCATACGATAAAAAGGAAGCAGTGTATTATGCGTGAACAGGCCGTTGTCTACCCCGCTCTTGTGTTTGGCCACGTGCCGAAACTCTTTGGATAGTTACGGCAGGTCACGGTCGCCATGGCTGTGATGTGTTTGCCCGTCACGCATCTAGGTCGCTCGAGCTTCAGTTCGTGCCTTTTGGACACTATTTATCACGTCGTCACTATAGCGGCTCGTGCAGTGGCAAAGCACATGTCTGAAATTCCTTCACCCTTTGACCGTCATCATTTGAACTTTTCGTACCGTGTTATAACAGGCACGCGGTCATCCATGCAGACTAATGTTTGCTTGGATACGACAAGACGCTCTGTCTGTGGATGGTAGCTACCTTCTGCTAACTTTTCCAATGTCCTGAATTTGTTTCAGAATCTACAAAGGACAGCAGCAAGGCAAGAACGGCGAAGAGGGTAATCTGTTCTTCGAGACGTTCCCACACGTGGCCTTGTCCAAGGTAAATACCAATTTTAATCATGACTCATCAAATCAGAAAAGACTCAGGAACATGGAATCAGGACTCAGGACACAGGAACATGAGGCCAGCCTGTGATGGCCCACCTTTTGAAAACTTTAGCCGAAGTAGTCAGCGGACTGGAGCCGACCCAGTTCGCTTGCTATAAGGGACGCTACAAAAGTTTACATTTTACAAGTGAATAGCTGTCGACATTTTCACGTTTTTAAGACATTCCAAATTTTGCAGCAAACTGAAAAAGGATGAATAATGGGATAAATGCATTGTCATACATGTTTCAGTTAAGTCTGGATGGAACTGTGTAATAACAGAACGTGTTCATTTTATGTACCTTATTTTCCATTGCAAGAGACTCTGGTGGGATGGGGGGGGGGGGGGACCACGCCGAGCTGACCGACGATTTGCAATAGTGAAACAATAAATGAACCGACTCTCTTCCTTCAATTTTCATACGAGTCAACTGTTGAATCGACTCACATTGGCCGCAGGTGCGAATCAAGTCAACTCACAAAAGCTCAACCACAAGTCTGGCCAGACGTGCTAGGAGCATGTTTGCTCCCCCCCCCCCCCCCCGATCATGTACTCGACGATCATTCGGATAAGTCGCTGCTGCTGACCCAGAGCTACAGCTTGAAAGCAGGCAGACCGACCGGGATAAACACGCTACGCCTACTTTGCGAGCTATAGCCACCGTATCCCAGCCGCGAATGGCAGTGCAGGTGTTGGCGGTGGCAGGCACACTTGCCGCGTGTCGCTGCAGCGCCAGCTACGTCAATGCTGCAGACCGGGGCGCGCGTGCGCTGGCAGCTGAAACGCTGCGGCAACACTCTGCCGCCACGTGCCCTGCTAAAAACAGCGTGGTATTCGCTGAATGATTGTTTCGCCACCTAATACGTCACGTGATGACTGGCTAGGTCCCCTGTTATCATCACCACCCCAGGGCACTCACTCCACCTGCTGACTGGCTAGGCCCTCTGCTATCACCACGGTCTCCAGGGCACTCACTCCACCTGCTGACTGGCTAGGTCCTCTGCTGTCACCACTGTCCTCAGGGCACTCACTCCACCTGCTGACTGGCTAGGTCCTCTGCTATCATCATGGTCTCCAGGGCACCTGCTTCACCTGCTGACTGGCTAGGTCCTCCGCTATCATCACGGTCTCCAGGGCACCTGCTTCACCTGCTGACTGGCTAGCTTCGCTGCTATCATCACCGCCCCCAGGGCACCCGCTCCACACGCTGCCTAGCTAGGTCTGCTGCTTTTATCACCGCTTCCTTCCGGGGCACCCGCCGATGAGCGCAGCCGCGCCTGAGTCCCCCCCCCCCCCCTGTCGTCAGGGCTTACCCGTCCTTATCACATTAAGACATCGGCGGCGGCTCCAGGTGGACACACTTGACCATCTGTCATGCATGAGAACAAATTATGCTGGGAAGGGTGATGCGCTGACGGCATGGAGGAATGTCAAATGGCTGACTCACTCGTGGTTGTCTTCGTCACCCGGTTCATCGCTACAGCCAGCTGAGGGGCGACGAGATTTACAAAGACGGGAAACTCCCGCGGTCGCCCCTCAACGAGGGGGACATAAGTTCTCCCGTTCCCAGTAGACAGACAGCAGAGAGGGCTTGGTTCCTCCTGTCCGCAACAGATAGGTAACACGGTGGGGGGGGGGGGGGGGGGTATTGGCCCTCTTGTCCCCAGAAGACAGGAGCAGCTGGGGTGGGGAAATCGGCTCCACCTGCATCACGCATTTGAACCACAGAATTTCATATCTCCATGTGCCCCACCGTCACACGGGAGCCAGTGCGTGATCCCAGAGACGGACGGCATCCGTCTCATGGCACAATGCGCACCGGACGCGCGTGTCACAGCCAAGCGAGTTGCCGCCAGCCGTCTCCTTCACCGCGGCCGAGGCGGGGGTGTCGTCACCCGGCGGCCGGTGACCCCTGGTGACCTCGCCGGTGGCTGGCGCGCGTGCGCGGCCGCCGCCGCTCTGGCCGGTTCACTGGCCGCACGCGGGCCCGCCGCGCCGGCCACCTCCGTCCCGTGCCGTCCCGTGCCGTCCCGGCCGGCTGGGGCAGCCGCCGGGTCGCCGTCGGAGCCTCTGCTCCGCGCGGCCGAGGCCGACACGCACAAGGCGCGTCGTCCGCGGTGTCCGGCGGAGAGCCGGCGCTCGCTGAGGGCAGATGCAGAGCGCGGCGGCCGGCTCGTGACACCAGAGCAGCGATCAAACGGCGCAGGTTGATCTGCGCGGAAAGATCACCGGCAACGTTTACACTCAGCGGGAGCTCGGAGGGCAGGAACGCGAGTAGGTTGGTCACCATGCTGCGTTCCAGCTAGAACATTATGAAGTCGGTCGATGCGTTGCATCGGAGATTGGTAAAAGCAGGCCTTTCCGGCTGCGTGTCGGAATCATCTTAGTAGAAGGTGCCATGAAGGCCAAGATGTCTTCACCAAAGCCGCGATGGAGTTCGAAATCAGCGGAAAACGTGATCCATCCATCAGTGACGAACCAAAATTAGGAGAAATTGTCCAACAGAGTCCACAAATTTGTCCGTAAAAAGCGTTATTTTCCATTAAAAAATCTTGAAGCTTTTGGTGACTCTATTGAAGTCATTTGAGACATCTCATTTCTACTTGCAACCCATGGCCGATTGGGGCGCTTTGGCTCAGCAAAATCGTAAGCATCCCAGTTACCACAAGGCTCTGACCGATGGCGTCGGCGAAAGGATTGACACACGGGCGCCATGTTGATTGCCTTGCCCGCGAGCAGACTGCAACGAGCACCGCTTATGGAAACCGACCGTGATTCATTCTCCGTGAAATCACGTCTACCCCAGGCCAGCACCTATTTATGCTGTTCGCAGAATGCGAGGATAATGGTTCCTGATCTCCGTCAACGGAGGCGACTTCGGAGCCATAAACCGCCATGACACGATAGCACCGAACTAGGAGTGGTCAGAGCAGGCGACCGGCTAAACCAGTTGGTCCCATCTTTCCTATTCCAGAGTGCCGGCGCAGGCCGTGTCGCAGCATTCCGTGACGAAAATGTCGGCGAAATTGTTCGCCGAACTGCAATTGTTCGGTGGAGTTGGCGGAATTAGGGTCTTCGTGACAAACCACGGTCAACAAAGACTGACCTCTCATGATGCAGACGGACATCCGTGTCGACATTTGGTCAAATTGATCCTTGAAAGCTCTCCAATTTCTGACATTATGTGGCAGAGATTCAAAACATCCGTTCAAGCTGTTCAGGATGTTTTTCAAGCAGTCACTTCTTTTTCACTACACTGTAGTTCTTACACCATAAGTCAGTAAACTGCAAACTCCTATAATTTGGGGTAACCTAGGGTGAGAGTAACCAGTCATCCGCCGTCAGTGGCGGTGAGAGCGATGACCTGTCGTCAGCCGGTGCTGAGTGTGGGAATTACGTGTCTGCCACTCCTGAGAGAGGGGACAACACTCGTCTTGCGTTACCGTGAGGGTGACCTCCTATTGTCTGTCGCTACCAGAGGTAAGAGTGACCTGTCGCATACCGTGACTGGAAATGCGAGCAGCAGATTGGCTGTGTTCGCAACGATCCGGACGATATAGAATCTGTGCAGTCGGCGTCATTCATGACGTCATATCCCATAGGTTCCGTGCCTTTTGGTGTTCGGCGCGACCCGGACACCAAACGTGCTACATGACTTTACGTAGAATCTTTGCTGGACGTACAGAATCTTTCGTCTGCTTGCTCGAAGTGAGACAAGATGGCGCGACAGGGTTAACTACAAATAAGTCAATTCGCGCAACTAGGACCTACCATCGATGGTGAAAAGGTATGCTTTGCGTTGAAAACAGGATAATTTACAGCTCGCACTGTTAGGAGCACGTGCGGTTCGTGCAAACATAACTCCTAGCGTCTCGCAGGCACAGTTATCGTCACGAAATCTGCGAAGATGTAAACAAAAAACGAGCTGCACGGTGAACACGTCCGGCAAAAATTTTACGTGACGTCACAATGGACTTTTCTCGGTGCGCTGCGACTGCCCCCGCCTGTCGGCACTGGGAGCGGGAGTCGCCGGCCTTGTCTGCTGTTACCGGCGGTGGGAGAGGCCGCGGTTGCCGGCAGCTACCGGGAAGGAACGTGACTTGGCGCCCGCTGTTGCTGAGAGTAAGAGTGTTGCCCCATCATCTGCCGCTACCAGAAGTGAGGCCGACCTGTGGTGTGCCGTTGCGGGGAATGAGAGTGACAAGTCTTCCGTCGATGTGGGGAAGGCGGCGGCCTGCCGGCTCCTGTCGCTACCGCGGCTGAGGGCGTACTGATGTCGCTGTTATAGTGAGTGAGGGCTTCCTGTAGTCTATCGTTCCCGGGGAGGGACGCAACCCACGGTATCGTGGGGCAGATACGGTGAGCGGCTCGCACGATGGAGGTGCGGTACGGTGGGGGTAGCGCCCGCTCCTTGATCTGCCCTCGTCGCTGAAAACCCTAACGATCTTCTCTGTGGGGCTCGACGCTGCTCGACATGCTTCTCCTGCTGCCGTATGATTGGCTGGTTAAGTTGCTATGACGTAATTTTCCTTCTGCCGTATGATTGGCTTGTTAAGGTGTGATGACGTAATTCTGCGTAAGCCGTATTATCGCAGGGAGACAATAGCCCCGGCTCATGCATTCCCTTTAGCTGAGTGATCATCGATTTACCTTTCCGCACTAGTATACGTCCATGTGAATTTGGCTGACGTGTAATTGCCCGATGTTCATGTTCGAGGCAATGGACAGACGTCGTAAAACGAAAGATTCATCATGAAACAGACCATGGCTGCTCATAAAGCAGGCTATGCATATTTTCTTCCTGCATTTACCTGCTAAGTGCACTGTTAATGACAGAGCCACATGAAATGCGATGCAACATGCGCCAAGCGCATGTTAGGGAAAGTTATAATGCATGTTATACCGTATGTTGCACATGTATGTTGAGGCAGGCAAGTGCATGTTAGGGAATAAATGGCATATCAGGTTTTCTCGCTAGAAATAGCCAGCTTGTCAGAAAGGTACTTGACGAAGTTATGTCGGAATTACTTTAAACGTTGTTAATGACATCCTCGGGCTCATGGTTTCTCTCGTCTCCATGTGACTGTGCCACCGTACTATGGGTTTCATAATGTCGAGGTCTTTTCCACGGCTCACCTGGTTTGTCTCCACGAAAGCATGTCACATCAATCCTGCTAGCATGATTGCTCATTGCAGGCATGCCCGGCTACCCTCCGCCGTCGGCGCGAAGCCGTCGATAACATGCGGATCAAACATCCTCAACGCATCTGTTCTAACCAGCGAGTTTATCTCCCACAGATGAAATCCACTAAATACCACGGAGCGAACTGGCAGTCGTGTTGATCGCTGTAGGCGTCGGCAGGCGCATGGTGACCGACTGGCGTGAGTCTGACCCGCGGCCGGCCTGCGCCGCAGACGTACAACCCGGACCGCCAGGTGCCCGACTCGGCCGGCACGGCCACCGCCTACTGGTGCGGCTACAAGGGCAACTACGAGACGATCGGCGTGGACGCGCGCGTGTCGGCCGGCCAGTGCCAGGCGGCGCTGGAGCCGCGCCACAGCCGGCCCTGCCTCATGGAGTGGGCGCAGGCGGCTGGCAAGCACACAGGTCAGAGGTGCCCCACTGGCGGCGGCGGCGCGCGCCGGCGCCAGGCGGCGCGGCTCGGCTCGGCTCGGCCGGAACGGGCCCGGCTCGTGTTCGGGGCGCGCTCGACGCCGGGGATTCGATGCTCGGTGGAGTAAGGACTGCGTCGCAGATGAACCAGTTTCCCTGGTCACGAGGTGGCTGTGACGTCAGCCGTGCTTTGGTGCGACGCATTCAGTTCTCAGGGGCTCCAGTCGTTGCGCATCGCTGAAGGGCCTTGGCTAAGATTAATAAATTGCTAGGTTTTGGAGGAAGCTGGATAAATCTTAGAAATTGTCGAAAAAAATCACAGGAAACTTGTATCTACGACAGTAAATAATGTAATGACACATTTGACGTCAGTCCATAGGCACCTCCACGTTGATGAAATATTTTGATCGGCTAGATAATCACGTCACCTCTGTGACAACTGGAGAAAGACAAGCTGTAGCTTAGAGTACCTTAAACGCACTGGCGCGAACTATTGCATCACGAAATGGCCATGGGCTCTAGCCCCCCCCCCCCTCCCCGTGGCACAGTTGGGAACGTTAGCACGAAGCCATGGTGGCGAATGAAAAGAAAATGGTAAAAATGGCTCCGAGTCCTCTAATTGGTGGACAACCTCCAGCACTCCTGTTTAGGAGCAGGCACCAGGGGCGTGCATGTACCGGCGAGCGTGTAATGGCGGTTTTCATATTGCGAGCGATGAAAAGAGGAGTCTTGTTTTACATCACGATCACGTCATAAGGTCGCGAGGCAAGGGCAAGTAGCGGCAGCAGACGGCAGCGGACCGTGTAGCGGCCTGTTTACAGGAACTGCTTTACATCGACGTGTATCGATGTTAGGACACGGACTGCGCTGATTGACAGTTCAGTGGGGACCGAGTTTCCGAACTGGCTTGAAATATGCATGTATTAATGGAGTCATGCTCCGGCTTTGATAGTTAATTATTCTTTAAAGTTCGTGTTGGGATTTTGCTTCCGTGGTCCAACTAGAGTCAGACTTCATGCAGATGCCATTTGCCTTTGACATGCAAAACGACTCATTTGAATCCTGGACTCTGTCACTCCGGCTCGTCTGCAGCCGCCGTGGCAGCGTAGCGCATGAGCACTCAGATTGCCCGGTACGCTCCCGTCGCACCGGCACGGCAACTTCATGCATATTTAGAAACACGAACGCGGGCATGTAGGCTGTTGCCTGTCACCAGCGCGCTGTGCAAATCACTAGTGATGAACGGCCTGCGCGGCCGGCTGAAGTCCGTGTCTGACCGTACGTGGGGCGCGTGGTGTCACGGCGGGCTGACACGCGCGTCACGCGGCGGTCGGCGCGACCTCCACGGCGCGTCCGGAGCCGCCCGCCGCTCCAGCGTGGCGCCGCGTGACCCTGACGGCAGCGCCAGGGTCACCCCAGGGTCCCCGAGCTTTGTCTGTGTGGCGGCGTGCCGCCGGCCGGCGTGATGTGAGCACTTTCTGAACAGGAGTCGGCTCGATCGGAGGCTCGTGACCGGCAGTCATGGGACGCAGTCAGCGACTGGGACATGAGTCGCGCTTTGAGCTGCGCGCTTTTGTCGCCGTAAACGCGAGGCCCGCTGAAATGATGCGAACATCTGCACTGACGGGCTCGGGCCGTCGCCGCCGGTCGCTCGCTCTGACAGAGCATGACGAATGCGTGTCCGGAGCGCGCTACGTATGTACCGCGAACACGGCAGACTCAGCGGGCGGACCAACTGCCGTTGAGACCATCACAATGAGACCGTGCATGCCAACTGGTTGTGTGTGATGAATTCGTATCGATACAAGGCACGTCCCGGCCTGTCTACCTGGTATTCGCAATACGTGCTGTGTTTGTGAAGTGTGCAATGCAAGACACATCGCGCTCAAAGGAATATGTAACACATGCTTTTCTGGGAGCTACACAGACGTTTCGGGCGGAGTGCGTGGGCCGGCGGTCCGAAGGCGGCGCCCTCTGACCCGGCTGGCCGTCCGCAGGCATCGTGACCACCACTCGCATCACGCACGCCACGCCAGCCGCGCTGTACGCCAAGTCTGGACACCGCAACTGGGAGTGTGACGGCAAGCTGGGCGAAGCCGGCCGCGGCTGCACCGACATCGCCAGGCAGCTGGTGGAGAACGCGCCTGGCAAGCACGCCAAGGTGGGCCGGCGCCGGCGGCGGCGTGGCGCCGCACGCCGCCCCGGGGACTGCAGCGGAACAGGTCACGCTTCTCTGTCGTGGGCGTGGATTAGAGAAGGCACACCAAGCGTAGCGCCATGTAAATTGCCTGTCATTAGGCTGCAGACGTGATGCCAATGTATTTTCATCGTTGGTAGTCCACGATGGAACGTGTTTGTGGATCTTGCACCTGTTGTTTAGCTTACAAGTCTGCTTATTTCCAAACACGTTAACATTTTTTACTTTATTCCCCGGCACATTGCCAAAAACGTGGCATACACATATTTCTTCGGACGCAGCCGCTGCTCTGCATATATTTCCATCGCATCCTGATCGGTTTATGCTCGATGTTTTGCAGATTGTTAAAATTTACATATTGCGCAGTGAGTGTGCGGTCCGCCTGACGGCCGGGTGCGTGTAACGTCCGGTGTTTGCAGTCGATGTGCTGCGAGTGCCTAGCCAACCTGACTTGACCTGACCTGACTTGACTTGACCTGACCTTGCCTGGCCTGGCCTGACCTGACCTGACCTGACCTGACCTGAACTGCTGAGTTACCCAGCCGTCGTCGGCAGGTGCTGTTCGGCGGCGGGCGCCAGATGATGATGGCCAACCTGAACAACACGCGGTTCGCGCCTGAGTATCCGGGCGGCTGCGCGCGCCAGGACGACCGCGACCTCACGCAGACCTGGCTCATGGAGAAGCGCAAGCAGGGCCTCAATCCGCAGTTTGTCGCCACCACGGCCGAGCTGCGCGCGCTCGACCTCAACGAGACCGATCACATCATGGGTGAGCGGAGTGAAGGCGCCAGGCTGCGTTTCGGGTACCCGGTGTCCCGTGTTCGGCACCCCGGGCACTTCGCGTGGTATGCGCACATGCGGGGGCAGGATACTAAGTCAATGTTAAGGTGTTTTATTGTATTGCATTATTGGATATTGCATAACATGCAAGCCATATGCCCAGTTGTATTTTTTGTTATGCTAGTGCATGCGTAACTCCAACTTGGGTCATAATAGCCATTCGAACAAACAATTTTATACTCCCGTTCCTGGGTTGCTGGTGTCATCCGAGGGCATAGCTTTCTGTGTGTGATTTCTGAGTTCAGTTTACCTTTCTTGGCCCTTAGTCTTGCTTTTATCTCAGACACAGGCAACAGTTCTGCTGTGCAGTTTGAATGAGCATCCTTGCAAAATGTAAAGCACAAACTAATGCTACACGACGTACTGTCCATGGAGCAGTTTCGCTTTCCTCGACATAGAGTTATAGTGACCCAAAGTTAGTGGCATACACTGATGTAACGCACAGACATCTTACCGTTACATGCACATCTCTGGGTGTCAAACTCATACCGTGGATACAACGTACGGTTAATGTAAAATTTGTCAGAATACTTCCACCTGGTAAGATATGTGGCGCCATAGGTGATGTTGGGCTCACCAAGCAAGGCATGTTTGCGGTCTTAAGATCTTGGGATTTTTTTTACAAGAACAACAAGCCTGTCCCGTAGAAACTCGCTGGCGGCTAACTTTACTTTGAGTGATGGGTTGAATACGGCAGATACGGCACGTGTGTGGCAATTATCTTCTGATAATCTGAGCAGACATTTTGTAGCCAGATGAAACACGTGTGATTCCCTTTAAGGTTAAGCTTTAACTTCTAAAACTATGTCCTCCGAATATCGGTGTAAATCGCACCGCTCGGGAGCCATGTGAAGTTGTTGCATTGGTACCAGCTGTCTCACGGAGGACGTACACCGCGCCAGAATCAGCGCACTGGTACCAGCCGCGTCCTACAGAGCAGGTATCATGTCAGAATCAGTTATGAAGTCACGCCATGGTAATGAACACGCTGTCGCTGATTGCCCACATTGGAAGAGTCGACGTCCGTGTATCAGGGTTGTGTTACGGTACTGCTGTCCGTCACGTGTTGGGGATGGGAAGCCGCCATTACGTCGGCCTTGGCAGCATGTAGTCCATGTAGCGCATGTAGTGCATGTAGTCCTACGCCCAGCATGAAGCCACTAGTCCCAATGCGCTGCGCGGCGGTTTTCCCGGGCCACGTCTTGAATGCTCATGTTATCATTTTGATCAGTTGGGCACAGCATGACGACAGCAGCTGTCGAGCGGGAGCGCGCTAAACCCAAACATGCAACTCATGTGGCTCCACACCATGACTCGTATATATGGCACCGGCTCTACACCATGACTCGTATGTATAGCACTGGCTCCACTCCATGACTCGTACGTATAGCACCGGTTTCACCCCATGACTCGTACATATAGCACCACTGGTTTCACCCCATGACTCGTACATATAGCACAGGCTCCACACCATGACTCGTACATATGGCACAGACTCCACACCATGCCTTGTGTATAGAACACTGCCCGCACACCATGACTCGTACATATAGCACAGGCTCCACACCATGACTCGTACATATAGCACAGGCTCCACACCATGCCTCGTGTATAGAACACTGCCCGCACACCATGACTTGTACATGTAGCACTGGCTCCACACCATGACCCGTATGTATAGCACAGGCTCCACACTATGACTGGTGTATGGAACACTGCCTGCACACCATGACTAGTACATGTAGCACCGGCTCCACACCATGACCCGTATGTATAGCACAGGCTCCACACTATGACTCGTGTATAGAACACTGCCTGCACACCATGACTCGTACATATAGCACAGGCTCCACACCATGACCCGTGGCAGTGCCGTGATGGCGCTGTCTTTCCACATATTGGCACGCCAGACCCTGACGTGTTGTTTGGACGTGTGCACGTGTTGACGCTGTCTTTCCACACATTGGCACGCCAGACCCTGACGTGTTGTTTGGACGTGTGCACATGTTGACGCGTTGATGATTGATGGCGCCCTGTCACTTGATGCCGCCTGACGTCAGCGGTGCCGCAGGTCTGTTCGGCAACAGCCACACTCCGTACGAGGACCTGCGGGACAAGGGACCGTCCGGAACACCCAGCCTCACCGAGATGGTCGAGACGGCCATCAAAATGCTTAGCAAAAGCGAGAACGGGTTCTTCCTGGCCGTACGTATGCCACTAATCGAATGCTGTATGCTTGGACATTCGTAGAGTTTAGACGTATTGTGAGTTTGTGGGGGCCACTACTCAAGAGGAGCTTTGACTGATCAGTTTTAGGAAACTGACATCAAGTAGACTCAGCACTCGTCTTTCAGTTGAGGACGCAAAGAGCTGCGTAGTCTATCACAGATTCGACTGGTTTGCTTGGTCTTGTTATGGCTATTCACCAGATAGTGATTTTGCGAAGCTTACTTCGCAGAATTTCTTCACACGACTAAATGGTCTGCGACTGTTCATGATCGCGAGACTACATGGTATGTGATTCTATATAATCGCAGAACCAAATGATATGTGATACTTTATGGTCGCAGGACTATATGATATGTGATGCTGTATGGTCGCGGGACCATATGGTAGCGATACTTTCAAATCTGGTAGCACATATAGTGGTGCTCAAATGATGGCGACACTTTCGGCCTTGCCGCTAGGGCGAGGCCAGTTCTACGACATTGGTGCTACAACAAAAGCTCTACCGACAGGAGTGCTACGACAATACTTCTTTTGTCAATACTTATGTACGACAGTAGTGTGTTATACGACACAAATTACAGTGCAAAAACCTATGCTCGCCATTATTTCTAGTGCAAACACTTCTACGTGTCATTATTGCTACAGGCCAAAGCTTATGCTTAAAAAATGTATACCCGTCATTACTTCTATTTCAAAAACGTTTAAAGGCACTGCTTATACACAACTTTACTGCTGCTGCAAAAACTGATACGGGGCATTAGTGCTACATGACAAACTAATGTTTCCAAAACTTATATAACCCGTTCTGATGGGCGGCATTACTTCCACTGCAAAGATTCTGCAAAGTCACGTGCGCATGTCATGGTAAAGAATACGGTGCTGCTGTAATATATGACTACTTGATAACTGATGTAAGAATAAGTAATGCAAATAGCTGTTCGCCAGAGCAGAATGGGCAAAATATGCTGCGAAACACACATTTGCGGTTGTGAGGTTGTTGGGCCTTCGGTTCACCGGGCCCGCAATAATCTACGCACTTCGGCGTCACTGACTGTAGTGCCACAAGTACGGTTTGAAACGTCTCTCTTTCGTTTCACCTGTCATTGAACACACAGCAGGATAGGCATCCAGACCAACGCCTTCGCAAGCACCGCCGATATCTGCCCGTGCCATGATGGAAGGCAGGCGATGCCATGTGGCCTTAGCTGTTACGAGCGTCGTAAAGCAGTGATGGAACACAGCTTCCCTATTGCGACATCAAGCAGCATCCACGCGGCCCAAACAGCACCCACGCGGCCCAAACAGCACCCACGCGGCAGCAGAAGGGCTCATGGTGCTGACGGTACACAAACGCGATTACGGTTGCAGCACGGCTACGAGGGCGTGATGGCCAAGTGGTGAGCGTGCCCGGACTCTCATGTGGGAGGGGGGGGGGGGGGGGGCTCATGTCGAATCCCGGTTGCACCTTGGCCCCTGAGCATTAACACGCGCACGGGTGGTCGGTTGAATACCCTTCGCTCGGGTGGGGGCAATCTGACCTACTGAGGTCTCGACAAATAAGATAATTAGAAACACCAAACTCACAGTGTGGGTTGTTCTGCACGTGAGCTCACTTTTGTCAAAATTTAGATGCCTGGTTCATGATCTTGGGGTCAAATAAGGTCAAACAAAGTCAAACTCCAGATTGCCATCTCAAGTGCCCCCAAACTTCCTCATGATACCGTCTTGAAGCTAGATACCTGTGCTAAGCAAGGGGTCAACAGTGTTTAATTTAGGTTAGTGACCTTGTTTAACCTTTATAAGGCCAATGAGACCAAATTCCTACGGGATTGCTCCTATTTTGTCATTCGAATAAGCGGCAGAAATTACTCTAGACGGCATGTTCATAAAACAAAACGATAACCTGTGTCGTTTAGGTCAGTGACCTCTTCTGACCTTTAACAAATCTATGGAACATGCCTGCTGTGGTCCCTGTCATACAAAAATGTGAAATGAGCACCAGAAGCTGCCTCATAAATCGAGCTCTTCAGTTAAAAGGCAGGTCAGTTTTAACCTTGGCCTGACCCTCATGCCTGGCGCGAAATTGGTGGAGCTGGCTGCAATTCTGAATTGAATTGGTTTATTACCTTAAAAACTGTCTCAGATATGTGTGGCTTCGTCTTACACTTGGTTGTTGCATTGGATTGAACGATTCCCTGGAAATGCCCTTCGCTGACAACCATGGCCTGTTTTTGATCTGCCATAGGTCAGCGACCTTACAAGGTGCATCACATTTTTACATCAAGCGATTCGGTGGCCAATGATCTGCAGCTATGCAAAGTTTGGCGCGGCCACGCCACGCCGTTCGAAATTCATTCCGGAAAACCTTCGGGGGGAAATTTGACCCCCTCCTCAGCGCGTATTAATGCGGCCAATTCATTCGCCGGTGCTCCACAAAACGGACGTTACAACGCGCGTCTCGGTTCCTTTGGTAGCAATCACGATTACGATGGAGGCCAAAGTATGCTGTGGAGGAATGTGCTTGAGACACCTTTACTACACACATAGGCACGGGAACTGGTGCGTTATTGGTGGTATTTTGTGCTCAAACTTCACGCCGATGTTTCGAAGAATCTGGCATTGGGCCTGGGGTGGTAAATGGAAAGAAACAAGCCAACGTATCTCTAAGCCCCACGATGTGGACAGACTCCTGCGCTACTGTCTATACCCAGTGATTGCAGCATTGGTCTGTCCAAACTACTCATCCCGGAGAAAAAATTGCGCCATGTCTTTTCTACCTTGCCAGATTTGCCGGCGTCCGTTAGTAGCCCTCAGCAGAAGAGGCTCTGAGATCAGAGAAACTTCATACTTGAACGCGGCGCCACAAGCTAAGCAGCGAACGCGACAAACATTCGAAATAATGCAGAGGGCAGAATGCAGGGTATCCCAAGCCGATTTTGTCCACGAAACGTGACCGGTAGCTCTCGAGTGCTACTTTCCGGGAGTATTTTGGGTCCGCGTCACCGCCGGCCCACTGGCGCCGGCTCTGAGTACGCTCCCGCGCGGGTCCTGTCACTCGTCCTGCGCCCCCAGTAGGCCGCCGCAGCACATAGTGACACGTCCCTGGCAGTGCGGGCGACATTTGTGTCCTAGTCCGTCCCGGTAGCTCATTTGGTTTGAGCGCCTGCCACGGAGTGGCGCTCGAGTCGCTTCGGGTGCTCGCTATTTACCCAGACAGGGATGGTCTGCGACCGGTGTTAGCGGCCACGCTGAAAGGTCACGTGACTCAGAGGACAGGGTGGCCATGCCGAACACTGCGGCATGTCTAAGGGAGCCCTCCACTTTTGCATTGGGTTTTGGACTGAGGTACCCACATTAAAGATCATTCCGTGCAGCTCACAGCTCTGCCTTTCTAAGGACCCAAGCAGTCAATTTCAAAATAGCGCCTTTCAAATTCTGCTATTCCACTAGCCATGCAGCGTTCAAGGCTGAGAAAAATAGGATTGGCGAGTCGTTCACATCTGGCGTTTATGAGCGCAATTTCCAGATATGATGGCTGTCAGTTGGCTCTCTATCAATGCTGTGCGAGGTCCGATGACGTACCTATTTATGTCTTTATGTCCTTATATCGATGTCCCCGTGTCACCAGAACGGCAACCGGTATTATATATATTTCCCCGTGCTGGAAAGAATGGTCCTTTAGCCCTTGACCGGGAACGACAATGTGTCCGCTCATGTTTCATCAACCCTTGCCCGGAAAGAGTAAAGGGTCTTACTAGTGTTCAAAAGAGTGGATCAAAACGAGGTCAAATGTGAGGAAGCCAACACATAGTTGCCTGAGAACGTCCATCTTTTTTCAGCATCGACTTGTGGAATAAATTATATGAAAAGTGTTGAGTCTGCGTGCTCGCAGTCTCAGTAGCAGGAGCACCTATAGCCGGGACTGAAGTTTCCGTAAAAACGGACGGCTCTGGCTGCTGTAGATAACACCAGGCGGCGGACGCCGTGCGTGCGGAAACGGCTGTCGGGAAATAAAGCCATCAGGAGTTTTTCAAACTCAGTTCGCGTCGTTCAAACATAAGACTAGGACATGTATTTCTTCTGTACAATTTGGGGGTGGTGCTCGAATGAATTAATAGTCACCATACCATGAAAAAAGCGTTCTACCTTTATCCTTCCACACCTCCAGATTCTTCAGTTCGCGGTTCAAAAGTGCTCTTTTCATCGTATTATTAATACGAAAATCACACAGGTCAGATCTGCACCAGGACCGTCTTTTCAACCTACGAATTAGCAAGGCCTATGGAGACTACAATGTCAGGTGTCGGTCGTTTTATTTTTGGGGTTTGCGAGCGCGTGTGTCCAGAACTACGTTAAATAATTTGTCTTACTCCATCAATTCGGACGCGGGAGGATGGACATTCTAGGCAAACATGGTTGGTCATGCCGATACAAATTTGTGATCGCATTCGACCTGGAATCTAGAAGACCAGACAGTCGTGAATTATTGGCTGACAGATGACGGTTCAGATGACGGTTCACAGCTGACGGTGGCCCACTCATGATGTTGGGCAACTGAAGACTGATAGCTGACCGTTAACCGTTGAAGCACCACCAGGTCATCAACTGACACGGTTGACGGGCTGCTGGTGCTTGTCAGGCGTGAATGGATTAGAGCCGACATCTTCCAACGGGCGGCTGACTGGTGACAGCTGATGAGTGACGGCTGGTGGTTGACGGTTGGTGTTTGACAGCTGGCACTGATGTACAGTTGACAATTGATCGCCGGTGTTTGACAGCTGGCGGTTGACCGTTGACAGCTGGCAACCAGCTTCAGACAGCTGACTGCTGATGGCTCCCGGGCGCGCTGTCCGTGTATCGTTTCGTGCCCCCCTGAGACCGCGCGGTGTCGGCGGCAGGTGGAGGGCGGCCGCATCGACCACGCCCACCACGACACCAAGGCGCGCCGCTCGCTCTCCGAGACGCTCGAGTTCGACAACGCCGTCCAGCTGGCGCGGTCGATGACGTCAGAGGAGGACACGCTGATCGTAGTGACGGCCGACCACAGTCACGTGATGAGCATACAGGGCTACCCGGTTCGCGGCAAGAACATCCTCGGTAGGTGGCGCTGGCGGCGAGGCCGTCATACCGATCTTGGCTTGGCTTTCAGGGGTGCATCGGCGTCATGGCCATGCTGCACAACACCCCAGTTGGTAAACAAATGGTTTCGTATGACATACAGAACACACTAAGAGCATATGTGCTATATTTCTGTACCAGCCAAGCACATGCCAGATTCATATAACCTCTAGGATGTTATCCATTTCAACACTTTGATTGGATGAATTCATGTGACTAGAGTCAACGTCAAGCAGGGCTGAGTTCTGACCGCACCATCCTATCGTGAAATTCCAAGCCAACACCATAATTTGATGACGAAAGTCTAACGTGCCGCAATGCTCGGTACGGTCCACACCGCCCCCTGACTTCATCAACTTCGTCCTCGGACTTCGCCCTCGCCCTCCTCTAAGTGGACCCAGGGTATAGGCTGTTAAACAGAAACGATCCATTTGAGTTTTCTGACAACCCGGCGTCCAGAACTGCGGCTGACTTTGGTCGCGTTCAGGGGAGCTCCGGCTGGCTCCGTTCAGGTCCTAGAGAGCTGCGACCGACTGGTCAGGTTCAGGAGAGCTGCGGCTGACTCTGTTCAGGTTCGGGAGAGCTGCGACTGACTGTGGGCAGGTTCGGGTGGGGGGGGGGCTGCGGCTGGCTCTGGTCAGGTTCGGGAGGGCTGCGGCTGACTGTGGTCAGGTTCGGGAGAGCTGCGGCTGACCGTGGTCAGGTTCGGGAGGGCTGCGGCTGACTGTGGTCAGGTTCGGAGAGCTGCGATTGACTGTGGTCAGGTTCGGGAGGTTCGGGAGAGCTGCGACTGACTGTGGTCAGGTTCGGGAGGTTCGGGAGAGCTGCGACTGACTGTGGTCAGGTTCGGGAGAGCTGCGACTGACTGTGGTCAGGTCCGGGAGAGCTGCGACCGACTGTGGTCGGGTTCGGGAGGCTCGGGAGAGCTGCGGCTGACTGTGGTCAGGTTCGGGAGAGCTGCGGCTGACTGTGGTCAGGTTCGGGAGGGCTGCGGCTGACTCCACTCACCGCAGCCCTCCGACTGCAGGTGCCCCGCAGATAGCCGAAGATGGCCTGCCCTTCACAACGCTGTACTACACCAACGGACCTAATGTCAACCACACATGGAACGGCACGCACGTCCTGCGCCAGGACCTGAGCAACGTGGACACCACCGACTGGGAGTTCGTGCAGCCGGCGGGCTTGCGTCGGCAGGAGGAGACGCACGGCGGCGAGGACGTGGCCATCTTCGCTTCCGGTTAGTGCCCCCCCCCCTCCCCCCCCCACAGGAGAAGGACCGGCCTAGTAATACCTGCCCCAGGCGCTGTGGCTTTCGGCCAGGAACTGTACCCGTGAGTTGGCGAGTCTCTGGTCGACACCCTGCCCCAGGGCCCGCGGTCTTCGGTCAGTAACTGTGCCCGTAAGCTAGTTAACACTCTCCCACACGGCGCCAGGCGTCGTTCAATAACTCAGTCCAGAGGGCGGGAAGCGCCTGTTAAATACACGTTACACATGAGGATAGCGACGGGGATCGATCTGCGTTAACCACTGCTTGTCCGGGGAAGCAGAGGTGCGGGGTTCGATTCCCCGCGGTGCCCACCCTTCTTGTCAGGGTGAGAGGCAGGCGACGTCACATAGGCTCAGCAGCAGCAGCAGCAGGCTAGGCAGAGTGCGTCGAAAAGCCCCAATGACGACGAAGAAGATCATATTAGCTTAAAGAGAGGTTTTGCCTCTTATCTGGATTATGACGTTCCATGTCTTCATGATGATCAGGCCGAGATTGCTCTCGGACTGTTTTGGACTCCCCTGAGTCCGGTCTGCTGCGGACTCTTCTGGTGGATGCGGATGATCATTTATTAATTTGTCCTCCCAGGAATTTATGAAGCTCCGTGATATGAGTATGCGGAAGACCAGCTTTTGGCCTTTAAGTATTTCCATGCGCCTACTGGCGATGTGAGCAACGCGTAGCCCTTGTCGAACGCTCTTTGATGACCTTTATACCTTGATCTGCACACGCCGCTATTCACTGTCGTCGGGATTTGTGCAACACTGCAAATCACGCGTACCATCCGAAACTTTGTCAGGGCCACCGAAAGTCCCGAGCTGTACGGTGTGTTAGTGTCCAGGATGTTTTCGAGATCTCTTGCTGGTCTTGTCGGGTCATCAACCCCTTCAATGAGCCTCTGATGTGACCGGTAGTTCATGCCTTTCCTGTAAAGCCCTGAACGTTGCGGATGTAAATATGTGTTTGAAACAATGCGTAAACAATGCGTACAATGCCTGCGTGCGTACCATCGCAGTTTGCGCATCGGATCCTGACAAGCTTTCGAGTAGTTGATTCGTCACATGTTTATGCCTTCCCAGGCTGTATGACTGACGTCGGCTTTGTTTTGCAGGACCTTGGTCGCATTTGTTCCACGGAGTGCACGAGCAGAGCTACATCCCGCACGTTATATCGTACGCCGCCAATATCGGACCCCGGGCCGACTTTAAGGGAGGGCGCTACGCTCGCTCCTCCGCCAGTTGCCCGTCGCGGCAACAGATGTCACCACTGGCGCTACTGCTGGCGGTCGCCGGTCGAATGGCCCTGAGGACGGTTTAGCCGGGTATTTAGAGGCAACGAAATCTTGGAAGAGGTGCGTGTTTCATTATTAGCTGCAGGTCTTTTCGGCTTCGGCCGGATAATGTGCCAGTGGTGCGTCGCTAGGGCATGTTGCGTCGCTGTGGTGCGGTGCGTCGCTAGGGAATGATGCACTGCTATAGAGTGGTGCTTTGCCAGTGAATGATGCGTTGCTAGCATCGCGCTACGGCCGTGGGCACCGAGTATGATTTATATTGTAGCTTATGACCTTGCGCCCTGACCGGGACCCCTGGTCTGCTCGTAGGCGTGCGCGAGAAAGGCGGATGCTGTCCCGTTTTACAGTGTTCGGCGTACAGCGCATTGTATCGTTTTAACTCAGCATGGCCGCTGACATCAGCTGCTGCTGTGTATCTGACGGCTGCCGCAGTCCCGTTGTAGAAAGACCTGGGGATACTACCGGGCAAAGTTGTCTGGCATGCCGTCGTTCCCGCCGGTAGCTTGTGATGTATGCAGGTCGCCAATGTTGTCCCTCCAAATACATGATGTTGAATGAAATGACCGTGGACGGTTTTGGCGCTTTCCTTTCGGTAAAGAACCCGGAAAAATCAAAAGTGTTTCCTAGACAATGACGGAGGGGTCCAGAGTACTGCTCGGGGCAGAGTTCTGGTATCCCTATACCTGTGTATTAGTCAACAGACCTCATAGCATATTGGTTTCAGCGCCCAGATGCAGATACGTCCAATTTTATTCGCATGTCATGTTGATCGCCTCCCTGACAAGGGAGGCCTTCTCACCCGCGCGGTTGGCCCCGGATCGACGCAGGAACAAGTTGAGATGACAAGATCTTGATCGCCGATGGTGGTCCGACAATGGACTCCAGACCTATAGCGGGAATCGGGTTGGAGGGCCAACCCTTCGGTACTGGGGCTGTAACTGACGCATGGCTCTTCCATTATCTCAACGTGAGCTTTCCTCTTAAGTTCTCAGGTTTCCTTTCGTTGCGAGAGGGGCCCCTCCCAAAGCAAGAAACCCTTTCTATTCAAGAAACGCAAGATTCCTGGCATGCGGGATCCCGTTCCGTTCTTGCTCTGCTAATGTCCTGGCCGACTCAAGGCCCCTTGTTGAACAGAATACCCTGTTAGGCACTGTGAGCCTCTGACCGACACAGGAGACCTGCATTGTTGCAAGAGCAACAATGCGACCAATGTAAATCGCGGGCCCGGTCATGTCCCTGCTTGTTAAATGGGTCCCCCTGATCTCAGATCGCCAAGGGACCGACCGTTTGGTGCTGGTGGATGATTGCCGAAGCCAAGGAACGCTCTGTGTCAAGGGTCCACAATCAGTGCAAGACGCCCTCTACCTGACATTTTAGATCACGGCTCCACGAATGGGGGTCCTTTATGTGACCTGCAGCTAGCCTTTCAAGTTTCGTAAAATTCTTCGGGTCCCTTTTCGGGCCCTTTCGAACACGGCTCCCAGCCGACTTGGGATCACTTGCCGACACGGGTCCTCGTGAATCTTTTTAAGGGCTCACGAATTGAACAATGGACTCCGCTCCCGCGCCATAAGAATGGGAACCGGAAGGCAGCCCACGCTCAGACGGAATGGCTCTTCAGCCCTTGCCCGGAAACGGTAATGCGCCATTTAGTGTCCAACTCAAGGAGACCCTTGCCCGGCAAAAGTAAGAGAACCCATCAGTGTTGAATAGACTGGGCCGAAATGGGCTCAGTAATGAAGAAGGTCATCTCATGTTTGTCTCTAAAACGTTCATTCTTGTGCGGAATCGACTAGCAAAATACGCGAACTTACAAATTCTGTCCCAGCGTTTGACGTCTTCCGGATGCCATTCCGACCAAACTGGAACGGGTCTGCTGGTCGAACAGGAAGCTCTTTAATTATATCAAAATGTTTCGAGTCTGCGCGCTCGCAATCTCGGGAGCAAGAGCAGCCATGGCCGGCGTTGCAGAGTCCGTAAAACGGAACGGCGCTGGCCACTGCAAGGACACCAGGCGGCGGGCGCCGTGCACAAGAGAACGGCCGTCGTAAAATAATGCTTGCGAAAGCCTTCCGAATTGGAGCCGTACCTACGTCTCAAAAATTAGCCTTGGGAGTTATTTCTTTCATTATAATTCTGCGGTTGTTCCTTGGACAGATTAACAATTGCAGCAGCACAGAAACAGATATTCTGTCCCTACTCTTCCCATTCCAGATCCAAATCCGCCCGTTGGAAACCGCTCAGCCACGGGCCGACGCCGAGCAGGTGATGGAGACTGCAACGCCGGGTGTCGAGGCTTGTGTTGCTAAGATTTGCGAGCGTGCATGCTCAAAACTGCGTTAACATTGTTTTCTCAATAATAGATTCTGGCTGAACGTTGAACATATACAGACAAACATGGGCCTACCATGTGAATATCAATTTTGACCTATTTCTACCTACAATCTACGTTCACGGGTTGTCAATATCTCTACGGAACCTCGATCAAAATGCTAGCAAAGCTTCTGAGCTATATCGGCTTGGAAAAGGTTCGATGAACCATGCTAGATGGAGAGCGCCAGTGATGCATTCCATGCAGTCGTTTAACGCCCTTTTTTGTGCATTGACTTTAACATTCGAACATGATTGATCTCGTGATAGATAATAACTGCTGTTCCAGATAAAGAAAGTAAAAATGAAAACGAACATCCATGGACACGGGTTGCATTCTTTTCGGTACGCCCCCCCCCCCCTGCGACCAGTGTCCAGATTGCCTTCACCCGCTCCCCCAACGGTGAGTTTGGCCCCCCACACTTCTGGACCTCGGGACAAGAGAGACATTAAAGATAGAGTTCAAAGTTATGTCAAATTTAAATAAGATTTTTACTAATTGTTCCGCAACTAAAAATACAGTGAAAATGAAAACTACGATTTCGTGGCCAGTTGTGTGCAGCTGACTGAGGTAGCCACGCTTGTAAAGCTCCGAGCTCGTTACGCGGTTTTTTTTAGAGCATTTCCTGTTTTCCGTACATATAGCATGCTTTAAATTACACATTTAACATGCCCTGTGGGCTATGATCTAGTTTGTGTTATTGTCTGAGTGTTCTGGCTTTATTCAGCGATGTTTCAAGTTCTACAGGCTACAGAAAGATGTGCTATTTAGCCACGATGTCTTTCAGGGCGTGAAAACAAACTGGTCAAACATCAACACCCAAAAACTGACAAAGTTTTCAGCCGTCTGCATTTAGAAAAACAACTGAAGCATGCCAACCTTCATTTCGACGTGAATATTCAATGGACCAGTTACGAAAATCTGACGATCAAGCCAGCCTTCTAAACTGATAGCGGTAATCGGCCAACAGTGACCACCAGAACAACACTACTCGTGTCCAGCATGCTTGACGCAAGTGCTGCACTGCAACCTACACGCCGCTTTGCGGCTGCCAGTCGAGGTTTTCCTGGCAGCTTTTCACAGTCGCGTGCATCAATTTGCACGCTTTAGTCCCCGTCCAACCAGGTCTGAAGCTACATTGCATCGATCCGTCGTCGCTTAGCGAAACCTGGCTTCCACAATCGGCATGAAGCAAACTGGTAATGGTGCCCAATGACATCTTCCGCCGAGACCGAGCGAGGAAACCAATCAGCTGGGCTGTAGTTTCCCATTCGGCTGGGCGGGCGGGGGGGGGGGGGGGGGGTAGACCTCATAACGTCGAGATAAAAACGGGTCAAACAGAGCTAGGACTCATTTGGACAAAAATTGACAATATTTGGGCTAGGTTTTTTCCGTTCAGCATCCCTTTCCTACTTTGCGAAGCTGCCGGGGGTAGCTGTGATAGAGGATTAATGACCGTAACACGAGACGGATTCGCCACCAGATCACCGCAGAGTCAGGTCTGGGACCGAGGACCTATTTCCCAGGCAGGGACGAGGTCGGGCCCGCAATTTACATCGAGCGGGCCCTGAGTCAGTGAGGGTTCACCTGTGTCGATCAGGGGACAACAGTACCTAACAAGGGCCTTGCGTTGGCATAGAGCCTGGAGCCGGCCTGCGCAGAGGGGGTCCGCAAAGTGGACCAAAGGGCCCCATAGGACTGGCGTTCATGTGCCAGATTTGAGAGCACAAAGTGCTATCTTTAGGTTACATTTAGGACTCCGGCCCGCAGGGTCGGCTCCCCGAGTGTCAGAGAATCTCTTGCACCGATTGAGTAAGCCCTCGCACAATGTGGGATTCCATTTCAGGCAAAAACCACCAAGACTGAACGGTCGGCTTCGTGTTGGTCTGAGCCCGCGGGGGCCTATTCGCCGAGCAGGGAAAAGGCCGGGCCCGCGATTTTTGTCGAAACCACCTAAAGCAATGAGGGCCCCGTATAGGCCAGATGCTCACAGTGCCTAACAGAGGGTCCTGTGTCGGCAAGAGGCCCTGAGTCGGCCAGGGCAACATTTGCTGAACAGGGACAGAGACGGGAGCCAGAGGTCCTCTCAAATGCCAGAGGTCCTCTCACGTTGGTCGGGCCCTGTGACACTAAAAGTGGATATGAAAGTTTACGATATGGCTCGACAATGAGACAGTGGAAGCCCCTTTGTCAACCAGTGAATGGAGGTCTCGCCATCCCATTTTATCTAGGGACCCATCACGCCGACTTTAAGTCTCAGTGCCAATTATTGAACAGCTGCGGCTGTGAGGGAACTTCTCGTATCAATGAGCGCCCTTCGGTCTATTCGTGGCCCAATGTCTGGGTCAGAGGCTCCGGCTCCGGCAGGCGACCAATGTGTGATTGATCCCTTTAAGGGCTTCCGCATCGACTAGGGCTCTTCGCCTCTGTGTCGCCGGTAGGGCAGCCGGCAGGCACACAGCTCTGTAAAAGAACGATCCTTCACCACCTGACCGTGAAATGTGATGTGCCCTCTAGTGTTCTAACCACCGGTCACCTTGTCCGAAAAAGCTGGAGCTTCCTTGTGTTCAATAGGGCATATCAAAACTGGATCAGAATGAAAAAGGCTAACACAAACAAAGACGTACGTCCTTGCTCAAAATCAGCATATCAAACAAATTACATGCAAGAACATTGATGGCCGGTGTTACAATTTCCACCAACTCGAGCAGCGTGGGCTGCTGCAGCGAACATCTCGCAGCGTATAATGTAGATCAACTGTATAATTTTGAGTTTGTGCTCTATCCAGAAAAGCAGTAAAAGCAGCACACAAAAATATATTATACCTCTACTTGTCCAGTTTCAGCACCAAATGCGTATGGCGTTAACATGACGGACGTTTTCTTTGCAACATGCATGCAATGAGGCGGGTGAGGCTCGCCTTCCGTTCAGAAGCACAGCAGCTTGGAGCAATGTACCTTAAAAGGATAGCGGGATCACAATTATGTTTGTTGAAACGAGCAAGGAAAGGGAATTCGCATCAGAATCGCATTTCCTAGGCGTATTTGGAGCATGTCGAAGACCATGTTCTCGGATTACGTCTGGAGTAGTGCTATCGTTTTGTTTTATATTCACCAAAATACATGCGTCTTATCCATGGAATTTTAGCATGGAGAAAACCCGTGTGTAAACAAGTTGCGGTGGTGATAT